AACTGAAAGAATAAATAATAAGGTAGAAAATAGATATAGAACAAAGTTTGTTGGTGGACAGTAATGAAATCCATGAAGTGGAAATCCCTCTTTTCTAGGACTGGTAAGTTGGATGTACCCATAATCCCAGTGACTAATGGTGTTCCTACTGAGTAACAAACAACTCCGAGTTAATAGTCAGAAAAAATAACCGGGCATCTCTTCAAGGAATCCATAGCCTAAGTGAAGGTTGATCAGTTCAGTCTAGATATATCAACGGGAAATCACAAGTGTCAATACATTACCTATGATAATATGAACGACTTCAAAGTTTATCAACATAAGTCTCAAATCATTGGTTCATACCATAAAATAACAAACATATTTTTGAAATATCTTAGATCAGTAGTTAGATTCGTCATGTTTTAGTTCGGTTAATAATGTTTATTTATGAAAACAATGATTAGTTATTGACAGTATTTGACCTGACCACTTTATTCTCTAAATCTCCCTATTTGCTGGACTTCACAACCAATGATAAACACTCCTTATTACATTTCAACTGACGTGAGAATGTTGCTGTAAAATTTTCTGTGAAAATGATACATTCAGTAATCTGTTGTGTCACAGCCTTTGAATACAAATTAAAGAATAATGGTGATAAGTCGTTGAATATTCGAAAGGTAAGAAAAAGGTAGGCTGATAAACATTAGATGAATTTTTCTATTCGTACGGAGATTTTATATGTGAACTAGTTCAAATATGCAAATACTAATTTTCTGATGTTTAAGTTAAATTGCTTTGCGTCGCTGGCACAACGGTTAGGAGGCTCACCGACCATACACATGGTTCGGCCACAGATGCACTCCTCCCTTACCTCACTAAGGCAGAAATAAAGCTGGTAAAGAGGAAAGCTTGGGCATGAGGCTAGCAGCCCCATCTTGTTAAAAATAAACACTGCTACAGAAACTTCAAGCCTCTAGCTTGAAGCCCTATGTTCCTCTGGGAACGTGAAGGAATAAAAAGAAAGTTAAATTGCACAATTTATTACAGAAAAAAAATTTAACAATCACAGTTAGAAGTTGAATAGATAAATGTTCACCTATAGTCATCTAATATGTCTATAGGAAACCATCTTCGAAAATGACAAGAAAATTCACTCTACCGCATATGAAATATATCCCTGAAAAAATGGATACAATAATAAGACGCTTTGAAAGATATATGGCAAACAAGCCAACACAACCATATCATTCAATATTGTACAGGTCAAATGATCCAAAAGAGAAAGAAGATAAGATCAACACCACTTACAGAATAAACTGAATGAAATTAGGTGAATACTACACCAGTTAAAAACGGCGTCCCTTTCGACTAAGAATCGAAGTGCATAAATTAGCTGTGAAAAGACACGATATGTATTCTTTCATATCAGTGCATTTCAACAATTATAGATACCAATTTGATTGGGAAAATGTAGAGATTTTAAATAGAGGAGACACCAAAAATACCAGGCAATTTCTAGAAGCCCGGTATTCATTTGAATCTGCTATTGACAAACGTATTACTACAGTTCAAATTTACCAACTAATAATAAAGTGCAGATCACACGACAGTAAAGTTCAAATTTCAAGTCAATAAAACAGTACCAATGCAAACTGCTAGCCAATAACAACATTAGTTGTCAAGAGACACAAATACATCATTCATAAGGGATTCAAGAAAGCTTAATTTCTATTAAAGCTTGCGCTGAAGATGTTGTCTATAATGACAACGAAAGCTTCTCAATTGAATCAGCCAAGTGAAAGAACACAATCAAGCCAAAAACTCTAAATTTATACATAATGCTGGATTTGATGTTATTATTGATTTAATCACAAGTGAAGAGATCTTGCCTTAAATTCCTTCCCTTTAAAGTCAGTGTCTTCTAAATACACAAATAGATGAATAAGATATGTTTTATTTTTACAATACTAATGAAGGTTACAAATCTGACCAATGGTGAAACATGATAGCTAATTTTTCAGCAGTATGTAATACTCATACTGATAACTCCACACTTAATATACACCATCGAATCTGTTGATTGGTAACCGTTTACTAACCGTTTATTAATTAAAACTTAAATTGAAATCTCTAGCGTGGCAAGGTGTGAACGAACAGCTTCTCAGATTACTGACTCACAGTCCTAACATCTAGACTGCAAGACCCCTAATCATCAGCTTTTGGATCAATAATGGTTGTAGGTTTCCAGACCGGAGGTGTTACGAATTTCCTAGGATAATTTGAGCGCCGAGTCAGATTGATTCATTATAAATTATTTAAATTAATCGCAGCGTGTTAAGAAAATCAAAACAAGATTTTTCTGAACGTTTCGCCGTGTAAGCCACAGCTTCTTCAGCAGATTTATTCGGATTATAATTAATCATCAAAATATATATAGGACTATATATTTTGATGACTAATTATAATCCGAATAAATCTGCTGTAGAAGCTGTGGCTTACACGGCGAAACGTTCAGAAAAATCTTGTTTTGATTTTCTTAACACGCTGGGATTAATTTGAATAATTTATAATGAATCAATAATGGTTGATCTGTAGAAGATCCGTTGTCTGATATACTGGATGTTTATTTTAAATATTTTCTGATTTATATGATCTCTTATTTGTACGACCTACCTTGATGAAGCTAGATGAATCAAAGGGGATTGAACTACAATAATTTTATATCGAGGTTCATGTTTACTCTACCTGTCTTTACATAATACCATTCTTATAGATTTACAATGACCTAATTTCGTATATGTAGTCAAATACACATACATAAATTATTCGAAATTAAATGAATCTCAATCGGTTAAAACTGATAATACCAAACAATACCACTAAGAGTGTCATCGATTCAACTTGATCACAAGAATAATGCCATAAGCATCATAAAGCCTAAGACCTTCTGAAATATATTCATTCAACGTAAATATCATTGTTCAATACTAAAAAGATGGTCACATCTCTACAATTTCTTCAGTCAACCATTGGAGGCACTAGTAAGCAATATATACAGGTCTAATTTTATGTCACTTGTTCGTCGAGCAATATTTTTCAAATCAAACAGAAATCAGAGTTTAATTGTTGGATACGCATTTCGTCCTATTTGGGACTCGTTGGCTGGATGTACATCATCATTCACTGAGAAATGCAGTTACATCCAGATGCAGAGTCCCAAATCGGACAATCGGTCTTATCAGTAAGAAACCTTGGACCTGTATTTCATGTATAGTGGCACTCATCATGAAGACTATAGTTGCTGCATTTTATAGTCCTACAGGAGGTCTATCGTGAGCTCGAATAGCCGAGTAGTAAAGTCTCCAACCGTTACACTGTATGAAATGAATCTGAATCCCAGAAGAAAAATGAGTTCTTTCAAGATATGAGATATGCCTCACTGAGGAGTGTCAACAAGCATGATACATAGGTCTAAGGCTTCATGCCTCCAATTATCTAACGACAACAATTCAAACTTCCCTGTGATGATAAGCCGCTTAGCATGTTGAACACATCGCAAACCTGACTGATACAATTCAGTCTGCAGCATGCAGGCGTAAATGCATGTGTTAGTTACCATCAGAGTCCAATCAAAAGATTATGAATATATATATATATATATATATATATATATATATATAACCTTGTTCTGATGACCGACAACACTTTGAGACTTGTTAGTACTCAGTTATTTGAATGACGTACTGCATTTCAATATAGAAATTTGAAGAAGAGTGCAGAAATTCAAGTTGTCAATTGGCTACCAAGACGTACTTCATCAAATTGTCATTATCTAGATGGCTCGGATATTTATTGTATACGTAAGACTAGATTAGATGGAAGTTAGGGGTAATTAAACCAAAACATGACATCAATCCATGGAGTATTTGACTGTTAGTGTGAGGCACGTAGGTAAATTTAGACCACTTCGTTATGACCATCAAGATGCAAAGAATATCTTGGGATTTTCAGAGATATGGCTTAAAATCATTCTAAATGATGTAACTGCATTTAAACTGTACAATCCGAAGAATTAATTATATTCTCATCATTGTTCATGTAATATCCCTTCTACTGTACATTCCTGTCCACTATAATATCTTCGCATTCATTTTTTACCCTATATTTAAATATCACATTAAGAAGTTTGCTAATCTGTAAAACTGCACCTACATGAAAAGTTGTACGTTGAAAATTTCAATTTAATTCATGACCTCTTCAAAATATATTGCTTGAAAACCAAACCACAATAACTAGGTGTTTTTGTTTCATCACTACATATAAAAGGATTCAGCAATAACTCCATTTTCTCATTTTGCATATCTTGACTTATTTTGATGTCGTGAGTGGGTGATACTGAGGATTTCCAAGTTAGGACGAAATAACTAGCTACTTACCTTATTTCTAAATATTTCATACATAGTTTTTTTTTCACCTGTGTCGACTTCCAGACTGAAACTAAGCAAATCTATAGTAAACTGAGACCCTGAGGATTTATTTTAAAATAATTTTTTAAATCCTAATATCTTAGATCCTAAATGCCACAGTCAATGTAAAATTATCTTAAGATGCAAAACTATGATACTAAGAAATTAGAAACGGATAAACAACCGAACTTAATATTTGCACAACAATTCTATTGGTATTAAAGAGCAGAATTTTTATCTTGCGGAGTGCACCATTCCCAATAATTATTTCCTAATCACTAATATTACATGACATTATTTGACAAATTATGTAAATGCTGGTGTCAGGTTTGAAATGTTTTTAAAGTGCGCAACGGTGATTGGTTTATTTCGTCGGGGATTTAGTCCCAGGTCGATAAATTTTAACCAGAAATTTAACCTGTCCATGACCCCTCCCCCTCACTATTTCTGAAAAAAATATCAACTACTGGATAAGTTAATTAACCAATTAAAAAGCATCATCTGCAGTATTTATAAGTAATCCATTCTTTGCGGCCCGCAGTATTATTATTTATTATTATTAATAATGATGAACTTCAACCATAATTCTGCAACGGATAGATTGGATTCAGACACAGATGATTCAAGTTTTCATAGTCCTACTTACCGGATTGTTACTGATTCACCAACAGAAGTTGAATATTATCCAGTGCTTTATGAAAGCGAACCAAATAAAACTAGTGCGGATAATAATCGAGTACACATAGAATCATCAGTCAATGAAAGTGGATATAATTCTTATTGGTAAGTTGTTTCTAAAATATTTGTGTTTAAAGACAATTATATTATATCTGTAATTTAGTTATAGCTTCTTTGTAATGTGAATAGATGTTTAGTTTGATTATGAAAACAAATAGTATATTTTAGGTTCAGTCGATTGTTGATTGAGAATACTCCATATCAAACGTAAAGTGTCTACATGATTCATAAATATATTCTGACCTCATTACACTACAGTAAATAAAAGTTTTTCCATTATGATATCGTTTTTGATACTTCATACTTATGCCACGGTGGTTCAGTCGTAAAACGTTCACCGACCACACACGTGTTAAAAAAATTCAATCCTCAGCCGATCCATTCCCATACCTCGCTCAGCCAATAGTGACTCAGGTGTAATATGAATCTCTATCTTTCATTCTGGATGCAAAGGAATGATTAAGGATTATTTCATGTAGATTAATTAAAGGAATTTTTAGAATATTTAGAAACTTAACAGGTATAATCTCTGAGAAAAAATGTTCATATGAATATTTGCTTGTCGCAAAATAAGTTTTTCAAAAGGATTGATCTCAATTTGAGTTGAAGAATAATTACTATCCATAATTATTTATTTGTGATATTTCATCGGTTATCATTGAAACAGTAGCTTCAATATGTATCTCTGTAGTGTCAATTAATGCATGAAATACGGATATACAGATTTAAAATTAAATTTATTAGACAATATTCACGACCACGGTTGTTCGTGCATTGACAATTCGAAGACATAAATGTGTCACATAGCAGTGACAAAAATATTTATTATCCTTCTAGATTATTATCATTAGGATATTTGATATACTTGTGCTTCAAATACATATTACTGTTGTATGGAAACCCATTGATGATACCAGTATCGATTAAATTTTGAAATCAGTGGAATGGATCGATACAGTTGATGTCGCTTAGCTAAATACTAGCAGACTATATATATATATTTCATTGCATAAATAACCCCACCGAATGTCTTTATTAAACGTTAATTATTTTTAATTCCTTTGTTCAGCAATCACAGTCATCTGTCAACCGATGAAGTATACCAGATAGCACAAACGGCCTATAGAGGTAATTCATTGCAGAATGAACCGGAAAAGCAATTTTGTGGTAATAATACGTGTCAGTTGGGCTATGTATCAAGAGGTTATTCACACAATACTGCGAATGGAGTTGAATATACAAATAATGCAAGCGATGCAGCTTCAGCCATCGCATCTATAGTAAATAAAGAAAATATACCCAATTATAATTCACTGTCTGAATTTCTAGCTACAGCCATACGCTACAATTACACACCGCAAGTTTGCAACACATATGCTCCGAATCCATATTACCAGCACAATGTGACGTCTACTCCGGACACAAAAATTAAGAATGCTGGACAGCAGTATCTTGAAAGAAATCACCATGTTCTTTGGAGTAACCAAGCTAGCAATCAATATAATCAGCCTACCAGCGACGGGTCAGAAACAGCATTTATCAGTGGCACAGGAAATGAAGGTGATTCTTCATTTCCGTCTGCTTCAACATCACTGAATCTCTTTACAGACAGCCATTTAAATCAACTGGTATGTAAAAAGGCATTTGTCCAGAGAATGATGGCTTTACAGCATCAAACAAGTCATAATACAGAAATTAGTCACAAAACTTCTCATCACATTATGGAGTGTAGAACTGCACCAATAGAGGGTATCACTTCCTCCACGGAAACTGAAAACTCTGAATCATTTATTGGTCCATGGCATCGAGTGGAAAAGTTTTATGGAGGAAACAATCGTTGGAAAACAGACGAAGTATATCACTCAGACATTAAATCCAGTGAGGATATAAATATGGTGCATAGGAATCCAGTCACCTATAACGAAAATTATGGAACACCCAGTAATTCACAAACTCAAAGGATTGCCTGTGCGAATGTTTCAGCCCACTGTGAGGCGAGCTTAGATACGTCTCTAAATATAAATGTTTTGCATGCAGATTGCAATACAAAGGAAAATGTACCTACATTCCATTCCATTCCTCAGTCGTCTGGTGATTATTCAAATACAGATGAGACCTCCAATCCAGATTTAATAAGTGCGTCTACTTCTACTGTTTTTCAAGCACCTTTAGCAGAATGCAGTAACCAAATGCATCAGAACGAAGGTAACTACGATTATGACAGTGCTTCTTGGAAGCAACAAAATATTTTTCCTCAAGGCTCAGGAATATGTATATCTGAAATACGAATTAAGCTTGAAGATACAGGAAAATCAGACACAAGTGTAAATGCCTTAGCATCAACCTCTTTTGACATGTCGACACTTCAACCGGAATATAACGAATCTTCTGCCGATGGATCTACTTTTCGAGAAAATGAATTCACACAGGAAGCGAGTTCCAGCATTTCGTCTTCCGTGATAAGGGATCAACCACTAAAGCGTATTTCACGAATGAGATCAAGTAGATTTTCTCGCTGCAGTTATCTGAACCGAAACCGACCGCTGAATTCAAATGCTGTGGATATCATGGAAGATTGGTATTTGAATCATGAGGACAAACCATATCCATCAACGATTGAGAAACAATGGTTGGCTGCTAATGGAGGCATAACAGTAATGCAGGTATATTTCACTTTCCAGTTTAAATATCTATACTTTTATAAGTTGTTTAATCATATCCATACATTATCATTATCATAGTGAGTTAAGTTTCGATGATAACCTATAAAATGTAATTTAAATAAAGCAGAACTATTGTGCAAAACATTTTAATCATCTAATTATTTGCAAATTCCCCCTTATTGTTTGTTGGTAACTGTTACATCACACCAAGTTACGCGGTTTTTAATAATAAGACTAATTATCCAACATTTGTAACATTTTGATTTATCTTAGGATGTTTATTTATCAGCGTTTTTTTCGCTAGCTTATCAAATAACCATTCAAACTATCTTTTTTTACGAAAGGTTAACTCATGGTTTGCCAATCGTCGGACGCGTGCATCAAATACTAGACCAAAAAAGAATCGAGTCAAGTTATTCGAACAAATTTACGAATTATCTGTTGAACTAGAATCTCTCAGTCAAGGGAGAGTAAAAGCATTAGCCATACAAGAGCGAATTGGTGAAATCATTAACGAATATCTTAAATGAATGATTCCTTGTGAATCATAAACCAAGTTTATTAATATTTTCCATTATTTAACAGACTTTAAACACAAAATTCTCCACTTGTTTTGTTGTTGGTTGCTTTTAAATTTTGTTATTTTATTGTTTTCTTTTTTTTCTCGTCTATCAATATATCAATTTACATATATAACACTTGTGTTGTTTAATACGAACAATAATCTGTAGTGTATTGGTAGTGTAAGACTGCAGTTTATTGATACCTATAGGCATCTATATTCACCGTCTGTCAGTATGCCAAATACTTAGCTTAAGAACATAGTCTGCAGTTAGGAAGTCTAGTTTATAGGCTTTATTTCTAATCTGGGCAATACTTTCTTGCACACTGTGCAAGTCCCGTAAGACAGTCTGTCTAGCCTAACCATACCGATTTGATTATACAAAAATGAAATCTAAAATCTAATTATCAACATGACGTCCACAATTGTAGATAGCGAATAACAAAGTGGCTTCGATTATAGTGATAGTAGCTCCTCAGTAAGTGTACAATAAAGCTCTGTACATAGTTAGATAGCATTTGTATTGCACTGAAAGTCGGTGACAATCTTATAATCAGGAGTAACCAATTTTAATACAATGAAATATAGTATTAATGCATAGAAAGTCAATCAGTCTCATGATGTACTACTTGTTAATTGTCGTCATTTTGAGGCAAATATTCTTGCCATACTAGGACAATTAAATTGGCATTTCACTTAGCAGTAGACAGGGCTGAAAGTATTTGTGGTCATTGATTTTTTGTTTCATTTGCAGAGCCAGTGTTTTGCATGTTCAATATATGTGCGTCGGTGGCACAGTGGTTAGGACTCTAGCCGACCATGCATATGGTCCGGGGTTCGAGCCCACGCCAACGCACACCTGATATCTATGGTCGGCCTGCAAAATTTGGGCTACCGATATCCATGCTGAGAATTTCATACTTGTACCAAAAATACGCTGTGGAATCAAGCTGTAAATAAAAAAAAATTCTGATTTGTCCTAAAAGTACTTAATTATATACATATTTTTGTGATAGGCCTTGACCCAATTAATTCAAAATTTTTGAGAAACACTTTATTAAAATGGTGAAAAATAATATCCAGGTTCTATAAAAAAAATGTGAAATTAGCTGATTATATTCTACGGGAAAGATGTTCAGTTTAAGAAAGGGAGTATAATTCATTTCGTCGTAAACAGGAAGGTTAAATTAAAGTAAATTATAATCACCTGACAGCTGACTGGATATTATATTTCACACAGTTTGGTAGGACTAAAGAAGTGAAGATTATTTAGACCTATTTTTTGAATCACTTCATTGACAGGACCTAAGTATATTAGATGGCTAGACTTTTAAGGATAATAAGTTTATCTTTGATATATTAAATAAAGGAGACTTTGTTGATCCTATGAAGTGGATTGGTATTTTTGAATACATCTTAACAGACTTTATGAGACGAGTTTCAATATCTGTGATGTTGTTTTTCCGATGTGAGGTTTATACCCTTTTCTCTTTATCAAGTTTACCGCCAATCAGTAAACCGGACAAGGTTAAAGGGTGCACTTGGAAATGAACGGCGACCACATGCGTCGATTGCGGGAATTTTTACCAATGAACCATCAAAGCAGCAGTATTATGTATTACAAATTATTCTACATCTGTCTTATAGTTTTCGAAAGGTAACACCTCCACAGCGGTAGTATCACAGGATGATATTGTTTTATGTTCTGGTCCAACAAGAGGATGGGATGGGGATGTTTGGTTTTCTTGAAAACAAATCTATAACTACCCTGTCAGTGGATGTATCGTTGTGTATCATCACTGAGATATAGTCTAACTTTGTCTGAATATAAAATACAGTAGTTTATTCAATCTGTTGTGATTTCTTTGAAGCGAAAGATGGATATGTTAAGAAACAGAGTAACTAGTTATGTTGTGCCCTAAATCTTTTCGCCCAGGCGCTTTCTGATGTGCAGATGAGAAGATAGTAAGCCGGTGGAGATGTCGAGAGGTTTTCACTGCCTAACATCTTACGTCTCCGTCGTGATTTCTGAAAAAATAATAACAAAATTTATCAACTTCGTAATAATACCAATAATAATAATAGTAATCTCTATTAAGTTTCCATAAAGTTTTATGGAAATTACGAAGCTTAAGGTGAGCATGTAGAATTCTGGAGACAATGGCAGTGTTTGAAGATGAAGTGTTAACAAGATGAGAGTTAGAGAGTGGGTAAAGGGATAAATAATTTCATGGCAGTTTTCTGGTGGTGATGTAATCGAGTCTAATGATTACAGAATGTCTAGTACATCCTATTTAGATGCTCTAAACTACTTTCATAGATAATTTTGTGAACTCGCTCCAGTGAGGTCCTCTAGGAAAGTTTCTTATCATTTAACACAAGTTGTCAGAACTTAAAGTTCTATTGGAGGTAATTTCATGATTCTATTAGGCAATAATAATGGGTTTATAACACAAGGAAACAGTTGAAAAATATGACATATTGAACAGAAATGTGTGACGAATAAGAAAGAGTTCATTTAGTTTTTTGAGAATTAAATGTCAGCATAACAAAATTATCTTCCGTGTAATATTCAAATGCAGATTAAAGTATACATATTCCCTGTATTAGCCATTTGCATTTAAGACTAAGTGGCACACATGGCCCCACCAGGGGTTGGGCCTAGAACACTCAGATTACAATGCGACATCATATACCATTCAGTCATTAGGACAGAATCCAGCATTCCATCAATTCTAACTTCTGGTAATTCGCAATATATAGCTTGACCGTTAACTAGAGTCATCGGTGTGTATCTGTTTCATTCCTCTCTGGTGGGTGCGTACTGATGAAGAGCTCTAAACAAGGACGAAACCGCTGTATAGTACTTTATGGTTTCTACTGGTTCTCTAACTGATGTCAGCTGAAAATGAATCACAAAATCACTAAAATCGCCGCTAAATTAATGCTGGAGAATTGAACACTAAGTTGATTATTGATTTTTAACTGATGTAGATTTTAATATGATCGAATGTGTTGAAGCTTTTGTTAACAAATACTTGGATGTATATTTATTATTCCGGCAAATGATTTTACACCGTTTTCTTCTATGCCTATCTTGATGACTAACAGTCTAGCTTTTCTACATCTAAGTCACCAATGTCACATGAGAAAATAGAGTCTTTACAACCTGCAGACAACTAGTAAATAATGAGCTGGTTTGATTACGTAATCAATGTTCTGTTGTATTTCTAGTATGTAAGGGCATTATCATTTCTATGTGCCAATGTGCAAAAGAGATCAATTTTTGTCCTTTTTGTCTGTTTGTCATATGATTATTGTCGCTTAATGCATGATGATTACGTGATGAGTTGCCATGCCTTGACAACAGAATAATGAGGAATTGACTTGTTTACATATTAATAAAACAATTTTCATATATATATATATATATATGTATTACAGTTAATGGATCATGAGCACTCATCACTGAAACAGTGTGAAACGAGGCTGTTACGTAATCAACACCAGGGAAGTAGAATAAGACTAGCTGCCGTATCTAATGCATTCTATAGTTGATCGTAGTTGATATGCTTATATGGATCTAAGTCGATATGACATAGGTGTCATGAGCATTGAGTGTGTATATATGTGTATTTATGAGTGAAACGTTTGACGCTTCGAGTATACCGTCTAACTGTACATACCATTAGAATCTAACTGACTCCTAGATATTCAAATTATTACTTTCATGCATTTTATGACTACTCTTAAGTGAATTATTTTCACCTGTTCTCGGAGATTTGTGGTATTTGTCCCGCATAAACAGTGACCTTCCAGTTTGCACAATAAGTAGATTACGGTGGATGTGCTGCAGATGAAGTCATCAGTGTTTCGACACACATGTGTATGTTTATTCGACAATCGAAACTATGAATTGTGTTGACAACGATTTCGACGTAGATCCAGTGTTATCTGTCGCGTTTCTCCGCGTGGGAGCGCATTTGGTTCATCTTTCTTTAGTAATGAACTCTATTTCGTTGTGGAACCCTACGCCAACACTGGTTTCCGAATACTACTGTCAATCGATCAGACAGTCAACATTATATTCAAGTATTTCTTTGGAGAGATTTGAGTGACTGGTTATAGGATTTCATCACAAGGTGTCCAGTACTCCCTAGTTTTCCAATGGTTCTCTGACCGATGTCAGCTCATGATGAAATCTTTTAACCAGCCAACATTATCTAGTACCAAGCTATTTCACTTGCTTTCTTGATTATCACCAATAATATCAAGTAGATCACACTTACTGTAGCCTGAATGTTTATGTTCTGTAAAAGAGATTTCTATGCTTTCTCCTCTGGGACCGTGTAATTCGCAAATGACAAATTTGATTCTACTAATAAATGTACTCAGCAATATGCGAATGTGAGCATAGCATTTTAAGCATAAACTTCGATGGCTACTTTGATCACAATTTTGTATCTAATTTATGTGCTTTACAGCCACAAAACTGAATCTCTTCTTGATATCCAATACGTCATCGATTGACAAAGTCTGATTAACTCCTCCTCCTTAATACTACTTAATTTTGAATTGAGTAGTATGAGCACTATATGGTCAGTTAATGTTAAGTGATAGGATTAAAATAATCATACTATCTTAGTAGCAAGTATACTTTGCATCTCTTTACTCAAAACATTTCGATTTGACATATACGATGAAAACTTTAATTCTCTTGCTAGCTCCAGTTATCAAAATCCATGTATTTTCGAGGGTTACTTATAGAACACTACAATAGAAGTACAATTGCCACTAGAATACAACTTAATAATAATGCAGTGTTCATCAGTGACTAGCAGCTATTAAATGGACTTCTTTGATTTGCTGGTAGGATTATTACATTGTGTTGAATCAGTGTCATCATTTCAACACTACGGGAGTTCACTTGTCACCTGAATAACTCAGTGTTAACGTCCTTGATTACAACATTGGGTGGTGTCAGTTTGAATCCACCCGGAGGCACTAGTTTCTCTGAGGTGGCGAATAAGGCTTACTGACGAATGACAGTAAGCTTAGACTGAAGTCTTCCGGTTGACTACCTTCCATATAGCTTTCTAAACATGTTATGACATAAACACTGAGGAGCATT